GTTTAAGGATAATAATAAAAAATATTGTTCATAATGAATTTAATTAAAGTTTAGAATCTTTAATTAAAACATTATTAATACATGTCATTCTCATTTAGAATGGAACGGTGCTATCCGTACTGTTAATATGGTGAGATATTGAATGAGTGTATTTCGCATAATGAGATTGTGTGGAACATGGACACAGACACAATATGAATTTCTAATAATTTCCGTTAAGCATAGAAATTCTAATTGAGTCTACCGATGGTCATATATAGAATGATCTTAATCCTGAGTTCTTAACAAACTCCTATTTATGGATTTATGTCTTTTGATTTATTCGGTACGGATTCTGAGACCCTGAATCTTATTTCTTTTATTTTGGAGACATGATGAAATAGGTAGTTGGGAATGTTATTATACGAGATGGAATTCATTCCTTCTTGAGAAAGAAGTAGATAAATAATTCTCTTGAGTGTTGATTCGGTACTAAGATTAGTAAGAGCGCTCTGGTTCATGAATGTGTTTTATGAATCACTATCCATTAGAGAATCAATGGTACTCAAGGATGAAGATATAATTAGAGAGGTTAACGGATTCTACCTGACTCTAATTATGAATTATTTATGGAGGATTGATCTATATGCAATGACTATATCAAATGGACACTTCACAGTTTAGAAGTAATTAATGTCAATAATTTCAAGAGTTCAATTCCAAGTTTATAGTGGAGTAACTATTAGAATTAATAGAATTAATTAATTAATTAAAGTTTTTAATTAATTATTAATTTTATTAGAGTTCGAGATTATAGGTCCATAAGTCCCCGCGTCGTCTTTGTAATTCTACCAGACACAAAGGACAAAATGGGAATTTTAGAATTATGGAATTCTAAAATTAAATACTCAAAAAATAATTAATTGAGAATAAATTATTATTTAAATAATGTGATTATTTAAATTTGAATTTGAATTGTAAACATAATTTAAATTTATCCTTTTACACTTATTTGATAAGTTGTTCAATTTAGAATTCAAATTAATTTAAGTTTGACTTAAATTCGAATTTGAATTTGAATTAACATTGGACTGCAGGATAAATGATGATTTTCTCTTCCTTCTCTATTTGCAATTGGCGCCACACGCAGGGATAAAAACCCTAGGGTGGCCGGCCACTTAAGGGATAAGGTGTAGGAGATTTTTTGTTCCAAATTCAAATAGGAGATAGAGAATTGATTCTTTTTTGAAGTTTGACTTCTACTCTTTAAATATGATAATGATAGAAAATTGTGAACACAATTTTTAAAAACAATTTTCTGCCCTAATTTGTGAGAGTGGCCGAATTTCTCAAGAGGAAGAGAGAGGAAAATTTTTTCTCCCAAAAAATTCCATATCGTGCATGCGTTGGTGTTTGTGGAAATTCGAGTGTTTTTAAAACCTGTTTTGTCTCACGTGTGCCCACACACACGTCTACGTGGAATCAAGGAATTGACGTGGAAGACTTTGGTTTTCTAAACACAAAGATTGGAGTAAGGACTGTTCGTGGTCAAAGAACTCAAGTTATCATCCGAGTCGGCCTCCAGGTATTTTTCCTAATTGAGTTCTTGACATATAAATTAATGCGATTAATTTATTCGTGCATAAATTAATATAATCTATAGAGTATCTCAAAAGTTTTATGAAATTTTTGTTATACACGATCCGCCTCCCCACCACGCTTCCGCATCCGAATTCGATTCGGTTACCAACAATATTTTCTTAGCGTCAGTAATAGTTAGTTGCATATCAATTCTTAAATTTTCTATTGTAGCAGTCATCAATGATTCAGTCCCATCTACTACGCACCTAAGATCTAAAATGGTTGCTAATGCATATAACATAGATGATGCGTTATGAGGATATGGACATAAACGAAAACCTATTATTCTTTTTTGTAAAACCCATCTGTCATCAACATAATGCGCCGTGACGCATAAATACTCAGTTTTATTGCACCCATTCCATAGATCAGAAGTGCAAGATACAGTAACATTGAAAGTCTTAAAATTATCAACAAGAGATTGTCTCATTGCATAAAAGACTTTCATGCAATTAGAACGAGTTGTGTTTCAACTTACCCGTTTAAATTGTGGGCAGAAGGCTGTCTAGATAAAGTCTTCGAACGACGCATCATCTGCAAAAGAAGGAGGCAATTGGCACTAGCTAAAAATTTAACTAGTGCATTTTTAGCTAGTGCCTCACAAGCACGTTGTGTATCGTATGTAAAATTTTACAACCCCTATGATGTGAGTGATAGTGTTTGTTGACGGGAGTCCACACTCCCACCTTGGTGCAACGGTAGACATACTTTCTAATGTCTATCCATATGACCAGTACGCCCACCCTTTTTATTAGAAAAGTGTTTTTTACAATACTTACATACCGCATGAATTTCTATTTCACCTGTTTTTAGATTTGGTCAGGGCTTCTCGGTGAAATGCTGCCATGCAGGAGAAGTTCGCGGTCTTTTTCCCCTGGTGCGTTCTCCAGCTTCCTCGTTGTGCACTGAAGCATTATCTACCGGAGCATTTTCTAGTTCAGTAGGGGTGGAGTTAGGAGGCATCATTTCATCCTCAAAAAATGGCTCATCACTAAGCTCAGGAAGAGCAGTGAAATCAAGGAAGTTTGATGCGGTCATTTTCTAGAAATTGATTGAGCTTAAACTTTGTAAATAAAATAGCAAGAAAATGAGTGATCGCGAGAAAAAAACTTAGAATCAAAATTAAAGAGGCAAGATAAGAGATAGAATGACAATGAGATGAAAAGTTGAGATTGAATTGTTGTGTAGGATTTAGGGTAGAATTAAGGGGTATTTATAGGGGATTTTTTGAGGGATTTTTAGATTGTGACCGTTGGGCCCTTTGCGGGCCAAACGGTCGGCCTGTGACGGGCCTAACAAGAGGCCCATCACGGGCCAAACAGGAGGCCCGTCACGGGCCGACGTTGGGCCCACGAAGGGCCCAATGGTCACATTTTGAACGGGCTGCGGGCCGTTTTGCGGGCCTGGACTGGGCCGAACAAGGGCCAAATCCGGGCTTGGGCCAAACTGGGCTTGGGCCGGGCCGCGGGCCTTCACGGGCTAGAGCCGGGCTTGGGCCGCGGGCTGAGAAGCTGAGGTCCAGCCCTAGCCCATCACACGTGTCGGGCCAGCACGGCCCGTAACAGTACTGTACCGGGCCATGCCGAATCCGACACTGTTATGGGCTGGGCTGGGCCGTCCATGGACGGCCCGGCCCATTTGATAACTCTAAATGAGCACAAGGTGCATCCGCATAAGTTGATACACAAGTTGATATTAGAATTAGTGTCCTAAACATTATATATATATATATATATATATACATATATATATATGAATAATTTCCTTCATTTTTCACTCATCAGCGGCACCATGTTTAGAGAGCCGGAAAAACGTAGAATTACAAATTAGGAACTTCATTGAACATACAAGCTTTCTAGTGAATACCAACAAAAGATTATCTTGCAGCTAAAATATGTTAGTGTTAGTTGAAAAAACAGATTAGCAGCTTCAATGTAATTGACAAGGCAAATGAAACTTTCGGTGGTTAGGACTTAAGACCTCGTTTTGTTCCCAAGGAAAAAAAAAATCATTAGTCGTTATCATTTTTAGAGCCAAAACTTATTCTGTATTGTTGTTTTCATCTCATTTGTCCTAAGAAGAAACCAAAATTAACAATAATTCACGTAGCCTTCAGATTACGAAGGGTACTATCTCGACAAGTTTACTACTATTCAAATTGAGATTCCAACTCAAGCTAGAAGATAATTGGTCCGTGGCTCGCGCGGGCTTTTTGAAGAAACACACAATCGTGTGGAGATTTCTCTCTCTCTCTCTCTCTCCTTTTTTTTTTTTTTTTTTGGGCTACGGATCGTGTGGAGATCTCTTGTCGATGTCGTCACTTGTAATACTAAAAAAATCATATTTCGTTACATTTAATAATCCTCTAACTAATTTTTCTCCAAATAATAATTATTATAAAAATCAGCTAACAAGTTCATAAATCATATTCTACGAACCCAACTTGTTGTTCGTGACGATCACGGAGGAATTATTCCCCGATTTCATGATGATTTCTTACGGTATGATAAACAAAAAATAGGCTCAACTAGCATATATATATATATATATATATATATATATATATATATACATACATGCATAGGCTCCAAAATATTATAGGATTATGTTGATCGTAATACAACAATGTTTGGGTTTTTTGTTGAATTATGTTTCAATCTAGTCGTCCTTGGCCCCACAACATTTCTTTGGGAAAAAAACCCACCATCATTAGCTTGAAAGATATAATCATATTACGTCATATATGGCTAAAAGCAAGCCACGTGTAGGGCAGATCAATAACAATTGCGCACCTAGTCTAGCCTTTCCATAAAATAATAAGAAGAAATATCCCATGATATGTTTTTGCCATCCATCAATTATTTTTTCTTTTGTTTTGGTTTTTTTTCTCTTTTCTTATTCCAACTTTATTGCCAAATTGCCACCACCACCCGCTCCAAAGCCCTTGCCGTGAGGTCACAGGACTAAAAACTACACATAAAAAGAAAAAAACAAAGCTGGGCCCCACAATCTGAAAACGTGTAGGGCTGCGATTTATTGCGTCCACATCAAAGCAGACAAACTTCGAGGAACCCGAGGAGGAGATCAACGGCCAAAATGTTCTCAACGGCTATTCATAAATCTTTGATCCAACGGTCGACATCGTTTCGGCGGCTGCCGCCCAACAGTTGCCCCCCGTCTTGGACCAAAGAGAGTAAGGAAAGAGTAGGGTTGGCCGACTGCAACGGTTGTCGGTCAATAAGGGGTAACGGTGACATCTATTATATTTTATTTTAAAAAATAAATACCAAGAAAACAATTATTAATATTTAATTAAAAAATGGAAAATGGAAAGTTATAAGTAGCCGTTGGAATTGGGACTTGGGAGGCGTGGACGTGGAGCTCTGTTTTATAAATAGAGCTTATTTTTAGTCTATAGAGACGTTGAGACTGAATTTTCATACGTGTCGTTCTTGCACTAACATCGGAAGGTTCATGAATGTTCTTCTAGTAAGATTACGAGGGAGAGAACGCTAATGAGAAATTTTTTTTCCCTCCATTTCTGTTTCTTCTAATTTTAGTTCTTAATCAGGAAATTATTACTATTTTTCTCAATATTCTCTATTTTTGGTTTTGCTGTTTACTAAATCAAAGATCCAGCTTTCCTCTGATCACGTTCTCTTCCTCGTAACTCAAACTAAAAATCTTGTGTATTCTTTTCTTGGCTTGTGTTTCTATCTAGATTTTTGTAAAGTTATATCTCGGATTTACTTTTTCTTATTCCACTTTCTTGAGAAAATCTGTAAGAATTTCCCGACCGGTAAAGTATAGTTTTATTTGTTTCTCAGTTAACTCGAACGAGTTCATTTCAGGCTATTGATCGCGTATTTAAAAAGATCACCGCCTCTTTTTTCTTGTAAAATCAAAATCCTTCTCTTTCTTTTTCATCTGTATTTCATATTTAAGCAGAGAAAACAAATACCTGGCTATGGAGGCAGTTGTAATCAGATCAACCCCAAAGAAGAAAAACGCACGCAGTTTTAGCTACTCCAGACGATCTTCGGAGAATCTGGCTCCGGCGAACATGTATGGCGGTCTATTTCCCATTCATCCGCCGTCGCTTTCCTACTCTTATCCTCCCTCAGCTTTGCTACTTAATAATATTCTCTCTCACCCATACCACCAACAACAAAACCCTCCTTTGCTTCCTCTACCAATTCCCATATCTCGCTCCCCTTCTCTCGCTTGTCGAAGCTGTTCTACTACAAAAAAGACCAGTTACAGATCCAAAGATCAATCTGTCACCCCAATTCCAAAGAAACCCAAATCTAAGTCTCTAAATCCCAAATTTGAAGAATCCAAGAAAGATGTTAATCCAAGGTCGGAGTCTTTGGTGGTTGCGTCAACGAATCGGTTGGGACCGGAGCCGAAAGATCTTCCCATGGATGTTCCAAAGGTGATTGTTTCATCGTCTTCGTTGTCATCTTTGGAAACAGGTGGTTGTGTTGTTATGGGAGATTTGGAGAAGTTTTCGGGTGGTTCGGTGTTTAGCCTGTCGCCGCATCCGAGCAGTTTGCCGCTGCCGAGGTTTTCGCTGAGGCCAAACTCGAAGCTCAGTTGCAACGCTGAAGCTGCCGGGATTGATGCCGGAGCTACAGACAATCTCCGTCGACTACTACGTCTCCGATGATACCATATGCTTCCTTGGTTGGTTTGGCCGCCAAGACTAATTACAATATCTACTCATCCACGTGATTGGTTTAAACTTGTGTTTTCTTTGCCGTTAGTTTCGGATGTAAATAGAAAGGGTCAGCGGAGTGAGGAAGTATGCCGTAGCTGATTCCAGTGTTGAAACCTTTTCTTTCTTATTTAAGTTCCACTTTGTGGCCACCGCCTTTGTTTTTTGATTGGGGGTGTGCGCACAGAAGCTTTGGCTATAGGGAGAGCTTGCCTAAGAATAGATTTTCTGTATTTTTATCTTAAATTTCTTAAGTTATCAGTCAATGGAATGCACAATTAAATCAGGAAAAAATCAAAATTCTCTCTTGTAATATCATGTATATCCGTATGCTCTTTCCAAATTCCGCACAAGATAGGGTAAAGAAGAAGAATATGCCATTTTATCCAAAAAGAAGGGGAAATAAACAAAATATTAGGGAAAGCCACTAAATTTATCCACTCAATGCAAAAAAAAAAAAAAAAAAAAAAAATAAAACAATGCAATTTGATAAGGTGTTTCTGTAACCTAGCACATAAAAAAAAAAAAAAAAAAAAAAAAAAAAAAAAACAAAGGCGTGATAGTGTATACATCTCCTGTGATACAAAAATTTTGCCTTTGTGTCTTGTAGAACAATAAACCCTCCTGCCTCACAAATGTGAGTCAATTGTCCTGAAACTGATGCAGGCATTTGGTACATGTGTAAAAAGTAGTTTGCCCTTCATCGGCTGATCTCATCTGTAAGGGAAGGAAAACAAAATCACGACAATGATCCTCCAAGAGGAAATTGGAAAAATATTGAGTGCGGTTGTTGAAACCTGTCTAGTATAATATGAAGCTTCATCGTGTCCGCATTTTTCACATTTCTTTTTAATCTGTTGAAAAGACAAGATTATAAGTTTTCCACCAAATAGAAAACAGCATGCCCTTAACATCAACGTTGCAAAAAGAGTTCAGCTACCTTTGACAATTCCACTTTTTCTTCACCAATCGTTATTATGCCTAGCTCTCTTCTTATATCCTGCATAAAACGAGGGTCAGATGTTTGAGTAGGGTATGAAAGAATCAATCGACGGGATCAACTATTTGCTGAAAATTCCAAAAGGATCAAGAATCCAAAGTTTTAATTTTACTTGCAATTAATTAATTACATGTACGTATTTACATATCTTATAGCTAAGAAAACACGATGACTTATTATGTAAGACCTACATATCTAGCAGCCTAATAATCTGGCTGTTCGGCCAAAAAATTACTTGCGGTTATCTTCATAAGAAATAGCCTGGTTCCAGTGTGTACAACTTTTTCAAGCTCGAATTAGATTGAGCCACAGCTGTCCCAATTCAGCTTGAATTTCATCTTCCTCCTATATGTATGTGTGTGTGCGTTCAAACACAAAACAAATATATAGAACTTCCTAACTGATGTAAAAATTACATGGCGTTGATGTTATGACTAAGTAGTTTTATCAGCATCCAAGAGAGGCAGCTATTATTAAAGGCATGCCATTATGTATCAACCTTATCCAAATCAACTATCCAACAAAAAGGGGTGTAAAGAGGCATACCTCAGCAGTGACTGTGTAAGATATTTCTCTTCCAGCAATATCTGAAGACAGCAATTGTGATCTCAGTATGTCTAAGAATTATGATAAGAAAAAGAATATAAACTTTGCCGGAGATATTTATGAGATTGTAACATTTGAACATAGACTCGAGCAGGAAACAACACAAATACAACGCCATATCATAATACACACACACACACACACACACACACACACATATTTATATATATATATATCTATATGTGTATTTTTTTTTTTTGAAACAGAAACTTTATTAGAAAAAGGAGCAATGAAACGGGAGGAAGAGTTTTCCTCACCAAAACCAACTCCAAAAATACAGAGGGAAATAAAAAGAAGCAAAAAACTAGAAGAAAGGAGCCCAATTCCTAACAAAATCTGAAAATATTGGCCAACCAAACTCTGTCCCTATAAACCCATAATGAAACCCAATACTTAATTTTGTCCCATGACACCAAGAATCTTCCCCGCATCCTCAAAAATTCTGCTATTCCTTTCTAACCAAATGCCCCAACAAATAGCTAGTATAGTGGCCCTCCACAAGATTGAGCCCCTGTGAGTTGTGACTAAGGCTCTATGGGGGGAAAATACAAGCAACTCAGCACAACTCCTAGGGGTGTCCCATAGGAACCCAAACTCCTTCTGCAATAAAGACCAAATCTGTTGAGAGAAAGGGCAGTGGAGGAATGATTTGCTGTCTCCCCATCGTTCTTGCATAAAATACACCAGCCTAGAGAAATTGAAATAAAAGGATTTCTGCGGTGCATCGAGTCGTGAGTGTTTAGCTTATTAAGAGCAAGAAGCCAGCAAAAGACTTGAACTTTAATAGGGGCTCTAGTTTTCCAAATGTTCTTAAACAAAGGGGAACATGTTCTTAAACAAAGGGGAACCGCTGAACTGATGAATCAGTAATCAGATCGGAAAAGAAAGATCTGACAGTGAACAAACCACTGGAATCATTTATCCACTCCCTTCTATCTTGGAGCACACCATTAACATTAACTCTCTCCAAAACATCAATTAGCTCCGAGGCCTCCCTCATATCTCTATTCGACAAATTCCTAACGAACTTAAAATCCCATGAATCATTACCTAGAGCAAAACTCGCGATTGGCTGATCAAGGAGAGAAGAAAGTCCATATAAACTACGTTACTAAGGCGCGCCTCGTGGCAGTGCAGAAAGAAGGCCTCAGAGACTACACTCTGATGTGTTGGCAATGAGGCTTACGCCTCATCCAAGTGAGTCGTACGCTTTCATGCTATGCCTCAAATCGTTCTTGAGGCATGCGCCTCTTCCAAAAGGAGTTCCCAAATTGATGCTGGGCCCTAACTCTTAATGAGGTTCGAATTGAATAGGCCCTTGATCAGTAAAAAAAAAAAAAAAAAAAAAAAAAAAAAAGAAGCCCTAACCAGACAAATTAGTGGCTGCCTCCTCCTCTCATTCGCCATATCACGCTCTGTCCTTCTTCGCAACAAGCCAACAACAGTGAACAACCTTCTTCGCATCATCCAAGGTGAAAACAAAAGAGCATTCAATGGACTCTTCAAGCAGGTAATTTCTATTCGAATCTCTTTTCTTAACTTGATTTCTGGTTTTTTTTTTTTTTTTTAATTTTGGGAAAAGCAAAACAAAAATAGAGCTTTCTTATCTACTATTTACTGCAATTATCATATTAGAGATAATAACTGAGTATAATTTTGATTATTAGGTGATAAAGGCAAGAAGACCGTGCAAGAGGATGAGGAAGAGGAGTGGATAAACTGATTATGACACTGACAGTCAAGAATTTGTGGACAATGAGAGATTTAAATTGGCTGATGCTTCTCTTAGTAGGGATGATGATTGACCAGTTGGGAGATCTAGGCTTTTAGAAGTGCATTGTGAACCTTGATGATATTAGGATTTGATAAACTATGTAGTCTTTTTTTTGCCTCTAGTACTGAAATAGACTTAGTCTTTTTGTGGATTGATTGGTTAAATTTCTTGTTTTTAGTGATTATTGAGTGTGGATTTAGTTTTCATTACTAGTTTTTTTTTTGTATTTTTTATTGGCATTTTTTAAGGCTTACGCCTCAAAGCACCTCGAGGCGTACGCTTCGAGGCCCAATTCCGCCTTTTAAACCTTGTATATAAAGCAGGAAATCTTGAACCTAGAGGTCTATTTTCACACCAAGAGTCTTCTGACAATCTCTCCCAAGCCTACCTTCCATTTAACACGGGAAAAAACCATCCGCAACAGACTGGATTGACTTCTAAGGGCATCTAAATGATTTGTTACAAAGAAGAAAGCCTTACTTATTATTGTTTCATGGTTGGTGTCCTATGTAAAGAAATGGTGAAACTCTGGACCGTCTCTTTCTCCATTGTCCATTTTCCTTGTGCATTTGGTTCCAAGTTCTAAACAAGTTTGGAGTTCCTTGGGTGATTCCAAGATCAGCTGCAGACCTTTTCAATGGTGATTTGTTCAATAATAGGCGGAGGAAGCTTTGGAACGTAGCAACACTCTCAGGGCTATTTGGTTAGAGAGGAAGAACCAGATTTTTGAAGACTTAGAGGGAGATGTTAATGTAGTCTGGGACAGAGTTAAATTTTGTGTGGCATTGTGGTTGTATCAAGTTAAAAGATTCCATGCCTTCTCCTTTTCAGATTTTCCTAGGAGTTGGGATTTAGTCCTACACTAGTTTTCTGTTAGATTTTCTTTCGTGTTTTGTTCTGCGAGACTCCTTGTCCCCTTTTGTACTTTCCCTTTTTTTTTGACTTTTTAATAAAATTCTATTGTTTCTTATAAAAAAAAAAATATATATATATACACACACACACACACACACACACACATATATATACACACGGCCCCAGAGTCCCATTTATTTTCAGCTAGCCCATATTTCCCTATAATGACCCTATGCCAAAGTGATTCTGTCTCTTACGAAAATTTCCATAGCCATTTTGCCAACACTTTTTTTTTTTTTTTTTCCTAATATTGCTAATACCCAGACCCACAACTTCCTTCGGCCTGCACACAGAAAATTATTCGCAAAATTATGCTCTTGTCCAGATTAACTCTTAAACCTGAAATTAAGCAATATATATATATATATATATATATATATATACACAAAATGGACGATAAATTTGACAAACTCTCCTCATCCAGTGAACTGAAAAATAGTGTATCGGTTGGCTAATTTTGATACATGATCTCCCAACGGAAAGTGGTTTGATTAAAATTCAACAGCCCTCTCAACTAGTTTCCTTAAAACATCCACCGCGAGCATGAACAAAAATGTGGGGACAACGGATCCCCCTGCCTAAGCCTTTTGGAAGCTGCAAACTTGCCCCTAGGCCTGCCATTAATCACCCTGAATATGAAATTGAACTGAGGCAGCCCATAATCCACTTTCTCCACCAAGCCCCGAACCCCTTGTTTTCCATCACGGAGTCCAAAAACTTCTACTCCACATGGCAATAGGCCTTCTCAAAATCGATTTTTACCACAATCCCCTCTCTACCCAAAGATCCACCTCATTTGCCACTAAAACCAAGTCCAATATCTGCCTCCCTGGAATGAAAGCCCCTTGAACTTCTGAAGTAGTCTCCTCAAGAACATCCTTAAGCCTATTTGACAAAACCTTTGAAACGATTTTGTACAAACTCAACACGAAACTTAGGGGGCGTTTGGTATACATTAATCTTAAGGGTGGGAATGAGAATCTACAGGATTACTATGTTTGGTACAAGAATTGTCATTTTTACATTCCCGGGAAAGTGAATCCCATAGGATTCATTTTACCTCAAAATGGGGTAATATGAATAACACCCAACAAGGTGTTATTCAAATTCCTAGAAATCTCAACATCATGGGAATCTCACCACCATCACCACTGACCATGTTCTGCCCAGTCACTCAGCAGGCCAACCACCCACTAGAGGTCCAGCGACATTCAGCGTCCTGCTCAAACCACCCCACCACAACTCAGAGTCGCCGTCACACAGTCCCAGCCCCATGTCGCACTATTGCAGCCCCACCACTACCCAGACACCAGTAACAACCTCACCATTGTCACAACTCCACCATGAGTCAGACTATCTATTGCAACCCAGAATAAATAATCAAGACCCAGAAAGAATAACGTCTTAAATTTGAGGGGGGAGTAAAAGCCATTAAGGTCATATGTTTATTTTTTTAAGTTTATTTGTTTACTTTTTTCATAATTTTTAAAATTTGGTACCAAATTTATTAAAATTTATAATATTTATTCTTTGTAATATTTTTTTAAATCTAAGGTGTGAAAATTATAATTGAAAATTATAATCACTCAATTAAATAAAATTTAATTTGTTTAAAACAATTTAAAATTAATTTTATAAGAAAAAATTACATTATATTACTATGCACAACCAAACACCGTAAAATAACATTCCTAGCAATCTAATAAAAGATTCTTACGCATAACCAAACATGATAATGTAGATTTCTAGGGAATCATATTACCTACCATCACTTTCCCAAGTATTTGATTCCTATTGATTACTACATACCAAACGCCCCCTTAATGGCCTGGAATCTTTGATTCAATGCAAACTAGGCTTTTTGGGGAATTTTTCTTCTTCTTTTTTGGATACATTGCTAACTTCTCCAAGGACTCAAGTCTAGGATCTCTCCCCTAAACCCACCCCACCCTTACCAACTGAGTAGCACCAGTTGGCACTAGACTTTTTCGGGATTAAACAAATGTACGTCTCATTGGTGATATTATTAATAATCCCTGCTCTCCAAAATTCTTCAAAGGTCTTTAAAACACCGCTTTTGATAAAATCCCAATTCTTGATAAAAGGAAAGTGTGAACCTGTCCGGGTCGGGGGCCTTATTCCTGTCACAACTAAAAATTGCTATGTAGTTTCTTCTTCTTCAAATGGCTTCTTTAAAGACTCTGCAGCCAAAACTGAGATTGGGTCCAATTCAAATCGTCAATACCAATGAAATTTCCTCCGGAAGATTCATTAAGTTTCTCATGGAAGCCA